TTGGCATCTCTTTCCTAATTGGGTAGTCTTAATGATCCATAACTCACCTGACACTCGGCTAAACATGACACTAATGATATAAGCATATTCATTCTAAATATACATGTAGCTACGCAAAAACGTTGTAATCATGTACTCATTAGGGACTTTTAGATTTGCGTGGACTAATACGTGTGACGTCCATTCAAGGCAGTGCTTAATAAGGACGTCGAGCGTAGCTACGACGACTTCGTACACTCCATGTAGGCTAGCTCCCTTGAGTAAAAGCTCACCATCTCCCATTTTTTACTTCTCAATTTCTCTTTATTTTACCTACTACCATGATGGACTATTGTGAATTTTGTGTTTCGAAAAAATATCTTGAATGAGAAGAGGAGAATAAGGAAAAACTGTCAATAATTCAAGGTCAGTGTAGCCGATGGATTCAACTGACGGTTGCCATGGAAATGGATTTGATGATGTATTCCCCCTACCATTGCTGCTGTTTCTATCTCATCGTTCAAAGATTCCGCCCTCGAACTGGCAAATAAAGGTTGCAATTTGCATGAACAGAACAAATTCTTTAAAAAAAAAAAAGGGGGGGGGGTCCTTCAGTCAAGCAAAGGAATATCCTACGTTACATGTGCTTTGGGGATCTAAAATGGCTGAGGGTGCATAAATTGGGGCAAATGTCGTTCTTGATGTTTCATGTGAATATGACATATAACAGACATTTGGGAAACGAGCGCCTGCAATCCAAAAAATAGAAAGAATATTTTGATTACTTCTCGTCTTCTAGCACAAGCAGATCCCAACTTAGATTGTCAAATGAAGTGGGGGAAAATAACCTCCGACTTGTTTGCAGATGACTTCCCGATCAATCATTATTCAATTTATGATGTCTCGAACATGGTCAAAATACCACGCGTTTATCATGTGACGGTCGCGTTTGACCGAGATAGGTAAGACTCAATGTCGTATTTTGCCCGTTTATATAAGGTCGGTTTTGATGATGTTTGTGAAACTTGACAGATGGCAAACACCCATAACCATTAAATTAAACTTGAGCCCCATTTATTGTTTCGGAAAGGCAATAAACATCTTTGCACAATATTTCTGAAAAAGAACCGCTACACTTTGTCATACTAAACTTCCTATATTTCATATGCTAATCCACTTTATAATGACTAAAATGCTGGATATTTTGTCTTATTAGACCTTTACTGTTTGTATACGATAATAATTGCAGCGTTTGTTTTTAGTACGTTTTACATTTGTTATTCTAATAGCCCCTTTCATATTCCGTTTCGTAAAATAGCATCTGCCTGTGATGTTTTTTGGTTCCTCGATATAATGTTTACATCTAGACTACGTAGATAGATCGCTTTATTCACAATATTTACACAAATTAGGTTAAATAACCTTCGTAATTTGTTTTAATTGTTTGATGTGAATGCTCATTTATGTGCAATATTCATTGTAGAGATTTATATTATATAAATGTACTGGGAGTAGCAAGTGCGGGGGCACATGCCACTGGGCAACAGTATAGCATTTCACTTTTACGCACCCTGACCCACTTGCCGCTCCCACTCCTTTAATTGTTTCATATTCTTATTCATATGTATTTGTCTCTTGCCATTGTTTTGTATCTGTACTTTTCACGATTGGTCAAATAATTAAATAATAATAACAATTGTAATTTTAGGTCATAAATATTCGTCCGATTTTGAGCAACTGTGAAGTCTCTCTCTCTTTCTCTCTCTCTCTCTCTCTTTCTTTGATACTTAATCGTTATCAACATGTCAACATCTACTAAAGATATCACTTTATTGCGAAATAAATTTCTCATATTCCAAATATTCAGATTTGGACAAGCGATACACCCTATCATTAAAATACATGGGTGTATCATAATTTGTCATATATTATACAACTCCTACGTAGGTGCTAGGTTTGAATAATTTATTTAAAGGTAAAGACCAGTATTGGAAACGCCCCAATTTCAAAAAATGAAATGGAAGCTCTTTATTACCAATCATGTGAAAGAATATGTTTTGACTAATACATGATGATAACAATTTTGCGGGGAAACCGCCTACTAATTGATATATTTGGTAAATTAGTTTATCTATTGGACTGTGAGAGATAAACGCACGTGTCGCGCACGTGTGCGTAGTCCCATATACATCTTTCTATGTACAGTGCTTGTAACTTTACCAAGACTGGGCCAAATTTCAGAACCTTGCAGTACACACCAATACTTATATGCTAGATGATCAACATTTTCTTATCCATTTCACAATGCAATCGCATTACCAGAACTCACCTTTATCTCTAATACCCGGTGATGAAAAGCCATAATGATAATGTATATAAGCGTTACGATTTTCCTCACTACCGTCACTTCGTGAAAATAGGGACGAATATTTATCCTACTGATAACCTTGAAGGTCTATTCTTTTACGTATAAGCTTAAGTTCAGCTATTTGTTTGATACGCCTATAGTGCATGAGGAGGGGGGGGGGGTGATTTTCATCAACCAATGAATACTCTCATTCGGTAGCATAGCAACCAGGGGACACAGAGACACGTGCCCCCCCCCCTCCCCCTCCGCATCATCGGATGGTGAAAACAACATAAGACAGCAATGTAAAGAAGAATGATGAAACAACCAACAATTAACCACCTCCCATTTTCTCCATTCCATGGAATTCCTCGCTCTCTCGCTTTTCACCAATATTAGGTAGACCGATGCCTCCACTCCCCCTCCCCATCAGATCCAACTCACATTCAACTCTCATGCACCACCGACTTTTCATGCAAGATGAAAACACTCTTTTATCTAACCATGCATAATTTCCCTGCATAATGTCTTCCATGCATTGGAATGTTGAATAGCCATGTTGACAAAAAACATACACTTGCAAGTTGCATACCTAGTAAGTTGCAGTACCATATTCATGTACAGTGTATACCATTACCATGCAGCGTGCTTGTGCATCTATCGAGTTGTATGTTTGTCCAGGCGAGCTCGATACCGTTCCTTTTCACACGTGGTCGTAATGACGTCACAATCAGAAAGGCAGCCAGAATTTGGCGGTCTCGAATTATGTCTCTTGAACTCTGAACCTTTGTCCGTATCTAAATTAGATATGAAAATATAGCGAATCCAAATCTGTGTAGATCATATCGCGATTTATGATTTCATTCAGTACGAAGAAATAAATTATCAATTAATTAATCCAGTGATCTGACAGAATGACATCTACTTGGCTTGTCCCGTGGCTAGTCCGGTTTCGTTTGTTTTATGTGTTGTTTTTTTTAAGTCGTTGTTGTTGTTGGGTTATTACTATCGTAGCATGTCTTTTATGGGACGCAGTTCCAAGGAGATGATCCAACAACTGTTATTTGTCACTCTATCTTTAATAATCCATTGTGTTTAGTTGTTTGTTCATTTTTTGTCCATCTTAATTAGTGTGACCTGTGAAAGATTTGTTTATATGGTTTGTTCATCTGTCTGCCTATCTCTATTTTGTCTGGTCATATTTCATCGATCCTTTATTCCACTTAATAATATCCACTTAAAAGGAATAATGTAACTTTACATGAATGAGCTGCTTTTAGTAAAGCTAATTCTTTCACACGCTCACCACGCATATATATTGTCATGCTGTCACTTTAAGTAGGTTGCTGTATTCAAGTTCCATCCACACATGCTATCTTTATGAGATCTTATTAATAAACCCCATATGAATTAAAGCGATCCGCTCGACTCCAACACACTTTCACGTGTCGTGTTAATTCACGCATTTTGGTATTACCATATATACATGAACAGTTTCCATGGTAACCAAAAGTAGCGAATTGACAGTATTGCCATAGCGATAGCACTTGACTGGTCCGCAGCCGATGATGCGATTTAATCCGTGGTTATTTGCAACGATTTAGCTCTGTTTGTCGTAAAAACTAACCTTTTGTGATGAATTGCGGTATCTCGTTCTTCAGGGATTGTGTGTTTATGAAAAGGTTGGGTTCTAGAAATAGTTTGAATAAAAAATGATGTCAGGTTTTCATTCTTAGCATTGTGGAGGTATGGTGGTGTGGTGGTACTGGTTCATTCACCTGACTTTCAATGCAAGGGTTGAGGATTCTAATCTCAGCCAGGCACGGCATTAATCCACATTTGCCGCTCTCCATCCAGGTGTTAACGGGTGCCTGGTAATCGCTAGGGTAATAATGATCGCGAGAACCTCGCATAAGGAATAACAACATTGAGACTGATGGGGATGTCTTGGTTATACGAAATCATTAACAATATTGGCTGAAAAGATGTCAATATCCAGCGAAAAATTGCCACTAGTTTTGAAGTGCTCTTGTATCACATATTTCCCTAGACAAAAGTTTAATCTTTCAACAAAATTGTGATGTCTCGTGTGTTTGCACATAGCCCCATATAGGCCTACATAAATATGGGTGTGTTGTCTTCTTTCCGTGTTTAAAAGTGAGTTTCAGGAATGTTTTAAGACGACTGCAAAGACTTGAGAAATCAGATAAACGTCAAGTTTAATACCTTATCCTAAATGTCATATAAATCAAGTTCGGACTACGTCATCCATCATTGCACCCGATTTTTTAAATAATTGATGGACAAGGCTCACCATCCTTCCCCCCCCCCTTTTTTTTTGGCTTGTTTGTCGAAACTCTTTATGATCGACGTGTCTTTAGCCAAAAATATTGTATTAATCATTTTAATCATTTCAGGAATCTCGCAATACAAAATTCATCATGTGTTCTACATAATCACAACTTTCCAAATACATTCAAGACATTGTTTTTCACAACACAATCACATGGCCAGAACTCAATCTTTAAAGACTCCAGTACCTCTTGCACCATAAGGATCCGCTGCATGCATTTTATCTTCTTTTATCAATCACAATATTTTTCACCTATGTACTTTTCCCTTCGCATTTTTGTATTCTAATACAAACTAATCCCTTACATTTTACTCTATAATCTTATTTCAGTTCCTCCGACAACGATGTCTTCGATATCAACAATGCCTCCTTCGCCGATGCCTGCGGTAGAAGATAATACGAACTCGATGACGACAATGGCGATGATGACAACTGATGGTGGGTATTGTATTGTATTGCATTGTTCGTTTATTGAGATGAAACTATTTAATTTACAGAGTAAAAAAGTACATGGCATAAAACTTAATTGAAAGCACATTAGAAGATATAGAAAACTTAACAAGTACTGTTTATAATAGATACGACTAGAAGTTTCATAGATAATAATATATAGTTGACATTTGTTTTGAGTAAAAAAGAAATCCGATAATTAAGAATGTACAGGTTTATTACAACAGTGACGCAGTAGGTAGCCCACGAAGACTCGAAGACAAAAACAGGTTTTAAAGGAAGTGTATTATAATGACATCACTTCGCATTTAGTATATTGATATCTGCTGCTTACAATATCCCGATGTGTCGACAGCCATGTCCCACAATGCATCACCAACTGCATGACCCGCACGTAATGATGCTTTTTGCGTGACTTGGGTACAGCATGGACTTAGTGTGAAAGGGTACAGGAAGCAGAAATGGCTCTTCGTACGCATCCACCGAAAGATGGCGCAATTGAAAAATACATTACAACAGTGGTAGCGATGTCGATAAAATACCCTGTCTTTTATAGACTAAGATGAAACTTGTCTATGATTATTCAGTCGTACAAACTCATGCTCAACATGATTACACGGATTCCTGCATTATCTATGTCACAAAGCTCCTGACCTATTAATAATCTTGAACATCTGGTGATTTTAATGATTTGCATTGAGAAAAAAAAGGAGAATCTGATGGAAGAATATGAATATTACTATTAGTATGATTTAAAAAATAGCATAGGTTCATGCAGTCCAGTTTCATGTATTTTACCATATATTTCATGTTACAGGACATCATAAAAAGAAAAGAGAATTACATAGGCTGACAATGCATATTTGGCTTATAAATGACATTTATAGAATTATTTACTTGTGTTTTGAGACGCAATGGATTGGATATTTCCAATAAAAGAAATAATGAAAGGTAAAGGAAATATATAAATGAAAGGGGAAAAGGCAGATACAATTGGAACATAATATTTAACTTAAAAGAAAACTATACCCACCATAATTTCTATTGAAATTTGATAATCTGCCGCATTTGTTACTTTTGCAGAAGAAATCAACGACAGCGTAACAGGGGGCGATATTGCTGATTTGACGACACTGGCGGTTCCAAGTCAACCACAAACGACGCCCAGCATGAACGGAGACAACGTTACCATCACGTTATCATCATCAACTACAGGAAATATGACGTCAACGCCGGACATGGGGAATACGACGTCGACGTTAGACATGGGAAATATGACTTCCACGCCAGACATGGGAAATTCAACTTTGTGGCCAGATACGGTAAACGTAACGTCAAATCCTGTTGCCGAAAACACAACGTCACTCTTTGACATGGGAAATTCAACGTCGACGCCGGACATGGGAAATATGACGTCGCCGTCCAACATCGAGAATTCAACGTCGCCGTCGGATATGAGGAATGCGACATCGTCGAGGGATTCTAATGCGACGGAGACATTGACGACAGGCTCGATGACAACGTCGGAGTATGTGACTGTGACCTTTACATCTGAATATACCGATATAGTGACGGATGGTTTGGAGGACAACAATGTGACGAATGCTACAATGACAGAAAGTAACAACACATTTACTGCAAATACAGGGAATTTTACGATAATGTGTAAGTTTACAGTGCAGTGTTTGTGTCTTTTGGGTACATTTACCTTTCTGGGGCCTGTTTTATAAAACTTGTTATCAATAACATATGCTCAATTTTTATGACAAAATAATTTGCTCTCATCCATTGAAATGCCACAATTTCAGTCGCTTATAACAGTAACTGTAACTGGTTTCATGAAGCAGTAGATATATCAACAGATTTAGGGGGCCTGGCATCGTCGTGGAGGGGAACCGGTCTTGTGAGTTTGGTGAAATTAACGACTATTAGTAATTGTCAAATCGACTTAGGAGCTATAGAGCTGATAAGTAATAGTCTTTATTTTCAGACCATTGTACCGAATGGTCATACGTTTTATGCTGCGCAAAAATTCAATCAGTTTAATTTTGGTCATCACAAGAAGTGGGTTATTGATGTAGATAAATGCTCATGTACCCTTTACAGCCCATTTTAAGTATGTTATTACCAAAGTAGAAAAAGCCAGTCAGTCACTCAATAGTGTCTGACAGAGAAGTCTAGCAAGTAAACGGGTTTCCTAGCATCTGTTAACGTTTAAATTTAACAGATAGGACATACATGACATATTCATAATTCCTGCAAAGTTCTACAGAATTTGAGGTTGGCTGCAAAAGGGACAGAGTACCTTTAACTGAGAGCTGATTTTATGAGATAACCACCTGTCCAGTGACCTTGCAGGGTAGTCTAATCCCTCCTGTAAACTAGTACAGATGGGCTTTAAAATGAGTTTAAGAATGCTCAAAACCTGAATTGAATGAACGGCATTTTGACATAGAAAATAAAAATGGCAAGTTTAATAAATACAGAATTGCTTACTGAAAAGACCAAACTGGCAACGGGACGCATTTTGATCTTCGCAAATGCATAAAATGGTATGTTTGGCATTTAAGATTGCTCCCCCCCCCCCCCCCCCCACAAAAAAGAAAATAGATTAAAAAAAATATAAAAAAATACAAGCGGCCCGGAAATGACGAGCGGGCGAGGACAACCAAATGATTTTTTTGCTTTGGCCTAATGGGTAAAGGATATAAAAGGAGTCAGTGACGAACGCGGGATTTTTTCAAGGAGGAACTATTTTTTGGGGGCCCTGCAAATGTAAAACTCGCGTCGACCGATATTTCGCTTAGTGGGGGGGGGGGTCGGGGGTAGGAAGTCTTCATTTTCTTCTTCAAAAAAAATTGAGGGGGCTTTGCCCCCCCCCCCCCCCCCCGCCTGGGAGGAGTCGTGTTGTTTTCACGTTGCCCCGCCCCTTCCTTTGTCATTCGACCGGGGACGCATTAAATATCGACATATGAACATCGTATTATTTCTTTTTGCATTTAATCTAGTTACAACATCGGAACCTGAAACAATTACAGACACAGATGCTAACGATACTCGAAAGAGAAACGGACCAAGCCTACCAGGTAAGTAACTGCAAAAAAAAAAATCAGCGTAATTTTTTTTCTAGACACATGCTGGGCTTGCTCGGTCTTCATGATACAGAAAAAGTTATTAATTCAAGTTTATTTGTTCGAATACAATTTTAATTCATTTATCTCAATTGTAATTTATGTCCTAGAAAATTCTTTTAGACAAATAAAGCAACAACAACAAATTATTCATGGTTTTTCATGAACCCTATCAACCAGTTATACATGTATCTGTGAAATGTTAGTGATGGGTCGACAATAATTCAATTTTGTGCGTTTTTTTGTAACAATAATTAGGTTTCTAAAAAACTCTAACAAGAAACTCCTAATATAATAATCATTTATATATTAAATTGAAGTTGACGCAGTATGCAGTTTTTTTCCATGTCGGACAAGCCTCTCACAAGTTTCGTATTGTAGCATCTTTATACTTTATTTGTCGTGCCAGATAAAGAAAAAGATTTTTTTCTGTGGCTGATTAAAAGAATTACATATATATTGTTTTGTAATTTCAGTAACATTTATCGTCGTTTATGTTCTTCTTTTTCTTTCAGTTGCACTGTACATGTGTATCTCAGTTATACTGGCACTGTGTGTTGTATTACTGATGGGTGTCATTGCGCATGCGTGCGCCTCGTAAGTAATCACCGTTCATCCCTCTCCCCCACCACCCCTCCTTTCTCTCTGTCTCTTTATGTCTCTCTCTGTCTCTCTCTGTCTCTTTATGTCTCTCTCTGTCTCTCTCTGTCTCCCTTTCTCTATCTATCTATCTGTATCTCACAATCACTTGCAAAACAAGCAACAAAACAATCATTTTCGACAGGCTTATTTTCTATCCTATATTCTGTTCATTGTTAGGGTTACCTCCCCCCCCCCCCCTCTCTCTCTCTCTCTCTCTCTCTCTTTCTCTCTCCTTCTCTCTCTTTCTATCTCTTTCTCTGTCTGTATGTCTCTCTCTCTTTTTCTCTCTCTCCCTATCTTCCTCCCTGCCTCCCTCTCATTGTCCATCTGTATCACACCCAAACACTTGCACAAGCAACAAAACATTTAATGATTACATTCAACAGGTCTTTCATTTTCTCCCTCTCTTCTTTTATCCTGTTCCCTTTCCTTTCTTCTCCAACAGTTGTTCTTTTTACCTGCATAGCCTTAATTTATGCTGTGTGTATCGGCTTAATAATCGGGCTTCTGTCTCGAGTTTATATAACGTAAGTGTTTCATCCTACACTGTTGCCCAAAATATTTGGCATAATATTTTCTTTACCTCTTTTTTATGATTTGATTGTGACAATATTGTGTTACTTTTGATAGATAAGATTCGTATGTGAATGAGATGTAGTAGTAGTGGTGGTTATTTTACCTGCCTGCCAAGAAAGCATGCTTGTAAGTAAGCAGCCAGAGGACCGACGGCTTAAGGTCCTCTTCGAGAGACCAGGGTTGGTCCAGTGGTAATGTCCGTGGTACGGTCAGGTCTCAGTCTTCGCTTACATACTGACTCAGCGGACCCAGGTTCGAGATTGAGTCACGTCCTTCGGATGGTGACGTTAAAGGTCGGTCACCAGACGTAAAACAATAATATATGATACCCGTCTGTTAAAACCAAAGTAACATAATTATCTTCTTGGAACTTTAATAATCAATGAAGTTCCGACATGATAATACTTTATCTATCAAGAAAAGGTTGTATTTTCTCAATCGTCATGAAAAGAGGTAAAGAAAAAATCCAAATTTATGGGCAGCAGCGTATCTTGGCTTAAAATCTCGAAAATATGAGGAATTTTTAGGGATGCTCAATTTCGTATATTTTTTTTTACTCGGGGTCATAATGCGAAACTATGCTTTTTTCTCATATAATTCGAAATTGGAAGACCTTCAAAATTATGCGCAAAGTACCTAGTTTTCTCCACGTATGTCACTGGAGTAAATGAAAAACTGGAATGTATTCTGCTCTTTGAGATAGAGATATCTGTTAGAGAACCAGAAAATCGTAATTAAAGTTCGAACAATTTTTTTCTAAATAATAAAGGGCCCCTTTTCCCTGCGTGACGAACTGGTGTTGTTCAAGATAAATTCGCGTGAATGAAACCTGTCAATGCAATGAAAGTCTTCTCAAGTATACATGAACTGGCGATCTAGGTCCCGTTACGTAAAGAAATGTTGATAACAACTACCAAAGATCTATGACCAATCTCCTCATATAGCCAATCAAATGTCAGGATTCCATTACCTTATAACAATAATTGTTTCTTCTTATTGATAACAAGTTTTATAAAAATGGGACCACTTTGGTACTTAGATAATTTACCGTCTTTCGTCATTAAGATTTATGAAATTCGATATTTATAATTTGGTTTTCAATATTGTATGAGAATTCCATATTTGCATAATTCCACTTTACACACGATCAATTCCTTTCCAAAGTTATGTCCATCACGGTTTGAAACGTGCAAAACACTGCAAACGTTACAATGCTATATTACGTAATCCAAACATGCCTTCTAAAGAAATATACGATAGGATATTGAAATTCCCTGCCCCCCCCCCCCCCCCCCCCCCACTCAGAGGTCGGAATGACCGCATGCGTGTTGCCAAAATGTCCGGTAAAGGGGTACTTTTCGTGCAACAAAGTCCGGCCCGAGAATTGTAAAAAAAAAAAGGGGTGTATTTGACTTTTCACCCGGAGATTTCTTTAAAAAGGGGGTGTTTTTCTTTTTTTCACTCATCTCTTTGGACTCCTGAGAAATTATTCCGAATTTAGGGGGGTATATTGAGCATTTTCCTGATTTAGGGGGGTCTCTAAGGCAGGAAAAACCCGCGAAAAGCCCGCGAAAGGGGGGTTCGGAAATGTTGGCAGTCCTCAGATAGGGGGTGCTTTCAAAAAGAGGGTACGAGCATATGCGTACCCTAAATAACACTGAGGGGGGGGGGGGGGGGCCGGGTTGAAATTATCCTTGAGTCCATTTTTCGAAAGGAGTTAGCGTCACTTCTACGGCTATTTATTGTTACCTTATTATTATCAACTTTCCTTCCTCTTTAGATTGCGAAACCGACCGACTTCATACAACATCTCCAGCCGGGTGAACGGTCACCAGAATCCAGCGTTCGACAGCGGCGAAGTCGCCGACGATGACGAGGATAACCCGGTCAAAGGCATCATGCGAGGACCCAGAGGCGACATCGAGTCGGGAATGTACAACGACAACGAACGAACTCCGCTATGATGACGGGGGAAAAGTTCAAATCAATACCGCCATCCTGGGGTTGATTGGGGAAAATGTCTTTGGAAAGAAAGGGTCGATTCCAAACGTTTACGGAGTGACATTTCCAAGAAATGTTTTTTAAACGGTTTTTCAAATTCAAACTTACCACCCTTGAAAATCATTGTCAGTGTCATATTTTTGCTGTGAACAAATCTACATGCACCACTTTTGAGACTGAGTTGATGATTTCGCTCCCAAAAGGAGCGAATTATCTACACTGTGTAGGCATGAGTGATAACATTTTCAATTTCCAAACGATTGGTGTTTTACTCTTTCCTGAGTGAAATATTACGGTGACCACTCTTTTTTTTTCTCTCGATAAAAGGATTGTCCCTTATTTAACTCCTTGTGATAGTGGAATATCACTCTCTGTTGAGTGCTTTTTCACTCTTTCACATATAGAGAGTACAGAATGACCGCAAAATACCTTCTATGGCATTCCGTAACAAAACTATAAAGTTTTTGAATGGTTATTTGGTTGATGGAAACTTAAAGGTCGTGAAAGAACACAATTTCAGTTAATTTTATCATATATCACTACTTTGCAGGTTTTTATCAAAATGTCTGTGCTATTTTTAATTCAAATTGAAATTTCTCTGTAGGCCTACATGTCATTCTGTAAAGGCTTGTTCAGATATGTCTCGGTAAATCGCCGCAAAAAAAAAAAGCCGCCGTGGTTTTGGGGTTTTTATAAGTTATTTATATCATTGTAAATGATTGCCAACTGCATGCAGCAACATAGGACTTGCTCGTAATCACCGAGCTATAAGATACAGAAATGTGAAGCGTTTCACATTTAACGTCCTCATAAATAAAAAGAACCGCCGCAGTTTTGCCCGTCATATCTGAACGGGCCTTAACGTTTGGAATTGACCAATGAAAATCAGTCTCGATGTCACATGAATGAAGATATGAAAAGCATTCGGAATACACAAATGAGAGTCGTAGATACGGTGGAGTCAATTTTCTACCTTGAATACTTTTAGGAGGGGCGTTCAATAGCGTGAGACAAGTGACAGTGTGTGACTTTCCCTAAACCCTCTCTCGTCCGTCTGCCTTTCTTCTTTCTTTATCTCTGTCTCTCTATAAGCGCGTCTTCATCATCTCGAGATTGCCAAATAGCCCGGTATTTGGGAAATAATCCCGAAGTAACAAATCGCGTCTTCACTATCTCGAGATCCGACCTCGAAACTCGAAACTCGAACTTGAGAAATTAGCTCGAGATAGTATTGCGAATCTTCGGTCTAGTGAAGATGCACGGGACAAATAGCTGGATATTTTGCCAATAAAAAGGATATTTTGCAAACTATCCCAAGATATCTTGGGATATTATCCCGACCAACTATCCAGCTAATTTGCTACTTCGGTCTAATGAGGACGCAAATTAGCTGGATAGTTTGCGATCGGGATAGTTCAAATAGCTGGATATTTGGCAATCTCGAGATAGTGAAGACGGGCCTTGTGTGACTCTCTCTCTCTCTCTCTGTGACTCTCTCTCTTTTTTTGTGTGTGGAGTTTTCTGCGTGCTATAACTTTTTACAATATTAGTACTTACCGTAACCTATAACATTTTGAAGTATTGTAACGGGGGTAAAATAATTAGCCTTGTTTGTGGGCTCTGACTTTTGTATTTATCTTTTATGAAAAAATATATCGTTGTAATCGTTCAAAAGAAAAGATAAAAGCGGTTTCGTAAAGACTTGGCTTGACGAAAACAGTAAATTGTGCATGGTAATGTTCTAATCATATTACGATATAACGTGCATTCTTTTTAAAGTATTACCAACGGGAATTTTAGAAAAACATATTTTGCTGTACATAAGTTTTATTTTCTACCATAAAAATTGTATGAGTGCTAAAAGCCTCTAACTTTAACACGTTAAAGAGAATTGACCGGACGGTTTGACTGACATTATGGCTGTATAGTATAGAAGTTTGATAGTTTTAGTTAGATAATGACAGGTCGATGAGGCTATTTTTCAAACAGTGCCTTGAGTACTAACTGTACATAGTATTGCATTTAAATGATAAAAGTTTCACTTTATGTTAATCAAAGTGCCAATAACTACATTTGCATTGCATAATAATAATGTAGTTTACCATGAGGGTTTTGATGGCTGGCCGTAGAGGGTGGTATAGGAAAAAGGAAAAAAGATACGTGATACCACGAATTATTGTACATGTCTACATACATATCATGTGTACATGTACTATAAAGACTACTAAAGTCAATTTTATTAAGGTAAAATCATTGTATATCGTATGTTGTGAACCGAAATGGCTGTAACTCTAATAGGTGATGTTCAAAATCGCGATTTATACTAACACGGGAAAGGTGCAGTTGAAGTGAACATCAGGGGGCGTTTCATGAAACAATTAGTCAGTGGTTTCCACCGACTAATATCATGTTCGCCAAGAATTTAGTCAGCACTGACTAAATTTGACCAATCACAGGCCTGGAAAATAGTCGGTGACAAAAGAATTGTCGGTGAACATGATATTAGTCGGTGAAAACCACCGCCTAATTGTTTCATGAAACGCCCCCCAGAATATGCCAATAAAATATCGCGTCGTTGACAATTTCATTGCGATGTTTCGAAAGAGTGTATAAATAGAATCTTAATTCGTACGCTTGTTACCATGGAACATTGGAACTTTATTATATAGCTGCATTTTGATGAAGTTAAATCATGATTTGATATGTGTGAGGGGATATCTACTTCAATTTAGCAGCCTACAATCTTGCCACATTAAATGTAGATAATAAATTATGGGCATGTTGGGTTTGCTGCTGCTATGTGTTCAATTTTTTTCAGTACAGAATGGTCATTAATGGTGGATGGCTAATGATTGTTTTACCTGACTGCTAAGAAAACATGTTGTAGATGAGCAATCAGACTGTTTTAACTGAGTAACTTAATTAAGAAATTCTTCTGTCCAGAGCCATCTGTACATTAGGCCACCTTGGTTTCACTTAGTCACGAGATGGCGTATATCATTTTGTTTTGTGCTTGCCTATCTAAGCCGTATGCGCCAAATTGTGCAAAAATCGAACTGGGTTGGCCAAACTCTCCCATTGAATTAATGACCCCGATTCTGTTTCGGATATGGCGCCCTCATTTGGTTAACAAAACGTTTATCATGCCAGAGGTTTCCACCTTAGTTTATGACGTGCAGGGTTATTGAAATTCGTAAAGGTTGCAGCTTGTTTTTTTCTCGGTATCTTGATAAAAGCATGAGATGTCAAATAGTCATAAATTTAAATGGATCGTGTTCAAATGGATTAATCCAGTGGCGTAGATGCACGTGCCCCCAATCGAGTGTTAGGGGGGAAATGCGAGAAAAGAGAGAAAGGGACATGGAGAAGGGGAAATGGACAAGAAAAGAAAACGCCTGTCCACCTTACGCATCTTTCCCTTTATTAGTAATCAGCCTTGCAAATTCGCTTTCCATTTTTCGGGACGGATGCCGCCCCTCCACTTCAGTGAATGGGCTCACGCACGCTACGCCGGCGACTAAAACATAGAACACATACTCCGATCGGTACTATTTTCAAAAAATCAACTCAAGGGCAAAAATTGATGCAAATGCCTTTGTGAAGCGCTTCGATACGGACTGTTTCATTCACCTGTTACGAATAAATGTATCTCAATCAATTGTCAGAATTCAAATTCCTTGCATTAATTGTTTGCTACATGTAGGTAGGACAAACATCATGGCTTGCCCTCCGTAACAATTCGTAATGTTGCAATTCGCATTCTGACTATTGAAATATATTTATTTGTAACAGGTAAATGATATACCTTGTACCGAGTCGCTTAACAACGATTTATGCATTACATTTTGTTATATCATGTTTACCGCGATTTGATATATCTTGCCAACTTTTGTTCTATCTTCGTTAATATGTTGACTTCTATAATGCCAACTTACTGAAAGTTGCGTTTAAATTTCATTATGTATATAAAATGTAAATATACTTTCTTGTTGGGGCAATTTGGTAATAAAACATACTTCACAGTTATTTTGCATCTTCAGTGATTGTGTCTTTATTGATTAAATTTACATGGGATAAAGTTACACGAAACTCAGTGGTATAGTATGATAACAAGAAAATCATAGTTAATTATGAGATAAAGATAATGTATATTCAAGGAAAAACAAAGTATATAGCCTAGTCTACCAACACTGCATAATCCTAATTAAAAATACGAGAAAGAAACTAAATACACCGAAGACTAATTATAAGGATGTTGTTCAAAACATATAGGCCCGAATTCACAAAGCAAGGTTTGAGCTCAGACCAAGGTTTGAGCTCAAACCTCCTTTTGTTTCGCCAAACCTCCTTTTGTTCTTTACAAACCAGGTTTGTAAAAAATGCGTAAAACGCGTCATATGACGTACGAAAACCTTGGTCTGAGCTCAAACCTCCTTTGTGAATTCGGGCCATAAAGTACGAAAATTATTACATGTATTACAAAAAAGACAACAGACAATCAAAAACAAAATCAAACAAAACAAAAGATGTGTCATACTTATTTCAAACTGGATTCCTAACTTTCAGAAGGCCTTATTTAATAGCGGTCAAAATCTGATAAAATAACTCTTAAAGGGATCGTTTAACAATGTTAAATCTGAAATACACGGTCCTACATTTTACCAGTGTCTGTGATATGGTGTATTATTGAAGCCCTAAAAAAATCGCGCTTCAAAATGATCAAGAAGTGCCTCAAAAAAAGTAAAAAGAAAAACTTTGAGTGACCGGTTTTACCATACTCGTTTTCTCCAATAGACTGTAGTGTTATGAAAACCGTTCGGCGAACGGTTTTCAAAATTTGTAATTCCGATCATTAATATCTTGATAATCAGACAGGCGATCGGCTTGTAAAAGTCATGGAGTTCCTGACTGACCTAAAGGTTTATAATTATCATTGCAGCATGAGCTAAATTAAGGATTATTTCTAAAGGATCTAAGACAAAGTTACCGGATCCCTTTACTAACAATAGGTTTATATCTAATGTGATATGTGGTTTATGTTGATTAATTTCCCCATAAACAGATTCGCATGGCAACATAAATCATTCTGATGTTCTCTAAACGTTTCTATTGTAAGTATTTACGACTGGAAGCTTTCGGCAACACCATAGCCTTGCTGGAACTGTTAATAAAATTATTCTTTTGTCAAAAGAAACGGACTTAGAGGCGCTTACACGAATTAGATAAATTACCATAAAAAGAAAAATGTAAAGGAAATAGAGAGAAAAGGAGAGAGATAATACTTTTATGGAGAATAAAGAAATCATCCAATATAACCCGACTCCTGTTAAAAACACAAATTGTCTACATTTGTATTTTTGTAAAAATATTTAACAGTGTATTCCGTAAATGTTGATATTGACGTTCATAATAAACTTTGTAAAAGGCTTGGCAAAGAAATTAATCTTTTATCGAAACACCTTTCGAAATGGGAAATGGCAAAACGCTCCCTTCGAACGTCGCTATTGTATTCGTCATACCGGTGATTCACGAAGTGATAAAGAGAGGGAAAGAAAAGGGATCGAACAATAGAGGAAAAGGGTAGGGCTAGTCCCGTTGGTGGGCGCTCACAAACCAGACCCTGTGTTTGATGTTCCAATTCAGTAGAGCAAAAGGCCCTTTTTGGCGTGGTTATTTGCATATGAAAATCCACCTTTTCATAGTTGCGCATGAGACAACAAAACGTTCTATTGTGTTGGACTGCGAAGGAGTACGGGTTGTTCGCCCATCTGTACACATACAGCTAGTATGAGAAATGGTATGAGCATGAGACTTGTGTGTAGTCATTGTATAGTCTATAATCTGGGCGTACAAATCGATTACAAGGTAAATTAACAGGTTTCCTTTTCTACTTCTTTTCGGATACAACGAATGCACCTGTTTTCTCAATGTTATGCATCGTTGTTTGGATTTAATTTGAGAACCGTTTTGGTTTGCGATTCTGGGCCGCTGACTGCCGTTTGCGAATGTGAGAGAGAAAAACTGGAGATATTAACTTGATGGTGCTTTTCGATTGGAGTTTTGTAAGGACTTTTTCTCGGTGAGGAGTGGAGAGCGGATATCAGCTATGGATCGTCGGGGGACCGTCGGGGTAGTAGCTTTCACTTTCCTGGCTGCGACGTGGCGCCACGGTAAGTCTTCTTCGTAAGACGTAAGCCTGTATTGTGATGGCAAATTTAATTAGTCGTCATGCTATTCTGCCGCCTTTTCTTTCAAAATGATATGATGTATGACACAAAATATGCTAAATAACAATACTGACTATGAGTATGACAGGGAAAGTGTGTTCGTAAAAGCCTACACAATGCATGTACCAGATTAATTTAAAGAATCATAGTTTAATATTATTATATATTCAAAGTTTTGTAAATGCATGCACAATAAGTATTAATTCGACATAGCAACATGTAATTCATGCAAATCTTATCAGTCGTGATTAACCATTTTTGCAATAATTAGTTTTAGGTAAATGCCATCTAGTTTATCGCCATTTACCTTTTAGTAGAAATGTTTTTTTAAGCCTTTGTCAACTAGAGACAAATTTATTCTTTTATTTTTATTACAATTTTTGTTTTGAATCATTATATATATCCACTAGGTTCATTAAATTGTAATAAAAAATGCTGATTCTAGTCTACATGTACACAATTGAGTATTGGTGACAAATGAAATGGCGGCAGTGGCGTACGCAGGATTTTGTTTAAGGGGGGGGGGGGTTAAATCAAAAGGGGGGTTCCAAAAAACATACATAAAACATATACATAAAAAAAAGTCGAGGGGGGGGGGGTTTAACCCCAAAACCACCCCCCTGCGTACGCGCCTGAATGGCGGTATGGAGGTGCTATATGTATATCCTGCCGTATTATGCAAGGTTATCTTGGTGAAGAATGCTGGAATTGGCTACTAGGAGGAAAAGTGCTCTATTTCCCCCGCTATTTCCATTTCCACAGGAAATATGGCGATATTATAATTATGTAGACACAGGTTATTCATGCATGGAACTGCAATCAAAGGATGTATTATTTGTCTTCTCCTGCTCTAGTTCATCTAGATAATTATGTTCATCTCTCTGAATATTTAAATGATAATGGTGGTGTTGATGATGATGGTGGTGACGAGGATGATTATGATGATGGTGATGATTATGATGATGGTGATGATGATGGTGATGATGATGATGGTGATGATGATGATGGTGGTGTTGATGATGATGGTGGTGACGAGGATGATTATGATGATGGTGATGATTATGATGATGATGATGATGGTGATGATGATGATGATGATGATGGTGATGATGATGATGGTGATGATGATGATGATGGTGATGATGATGATGGTGATGATGATGATGATGATGGTGATGATGATGATGATGGTGTTGATGATGATGATGATGATGGTGATGATGGTGGTGTTGATGATGATGGTGGTGACGAGGATGATTAGAATGATGTTGCTCAATGCTGAAAATGATAAAGATGATGATGATGACGACGATTACGACACTGATTATGATATAAGTTGATTAGGGTAATAATGTCGTGATTATGCTCATGATGAGGTTAATGGCGATGTTGCGGTTTTGTTGGTGCTGATGGTGGTGGTGGTGGTGGTGGAAATGATGATGATAATAGTCATGATAATACATGTACATGTACATGTTTTTGCGAAGAAAAAAAGGGTGGCTCTTGTTATATTTTCATATTAATGTACTGATCATACAAACACAACGAACAACTACATGTTATTAATATCAATACTGTTAAATCATAAATTGTAGTACTTCAAGTAGTCACGTGTTTATCTTATAGCAAAAACGAAACCTCCATCCAATACATGCAATACATGCAATAATATCCGTATAATTATATAAACTGTCTCTGTTCATAATAATAGTACAATGTCAGGACTATTGATTTGATTAGGGTTCTTTTATTATCATACTATGACATGATATAAAACTAAAAGGTGTTTTTCAAGTTAATTTGATATTGTTAAATCATCGCTCATTAATTGTATTATTCCAAGTAGTCACACGTGTGTAGCAAAACGCAAAACCGCCATCCAATATACATGCAATACTAGATGCACAGTGTCTGTACATAATAATGCGTGTACACCACCAGGGCTATAGTATTGATTTGATAAGTTCTTTTTTTATTATCATCCAATGGCATGATCTAAAAGGTGTTTTTTTTTATTAATGGTAAGACTTGCATTGACGACCCTCTTGACAATGAGATGAGAAATCGATCTCGGTTCGAGTATTTCACACAACTCGGTCAAAACAACAAGGAAGAGAATGAGTGGTTAGAGAATGTGTACCACGTGGAATTTGTTTACGTTATATACAGCCAAAGATATTTGTAGCAGATTGTTAGCATGTATCAGTATAGATGATGAAAATTAGAATTGTATGTACAAATTAAAACATTTTTTTGTGATGAATAACAAAATCTTGGATAGGCAAGCGGTTGCCCCCTGGTTGCGCTTCCACGTCTCACCGACTATTTAATGCAATAGAGTGAACAACTGAATATGAAATTAATTGTTATTTGAAAAATAAAAAAATCAATAAAAATGGCGCCGTATTTATAGGACCGCCTGTGACGCTATTTTAAATGCGGTGTGAAACTTTTTCCACATTTTCGACCCAATATGCACCTCGAAAAATTAATAACCTTTTACAGTTTCACATATAACTTGTCTGCTTAAATTATATATAACAAAATCTCTTCAAATTGTGATCACCCGCACATCAATACCTTTACAAAAGTCGTTGATTCATTCCCGAGTGTATAATGAGTACATGTTTTGATTTACTAATCACAGAAAATCTATGCAATATTACATTCTTTCTCTGAAATGTCAGAATATCCATCTTGTATATAGGGGCAAACATTCATACAACATACACTTTTGTGTTATTGTATGTACATGTACACTCTGTATACACAGGAAAACCTTACAGAAGATTAGTGCCTCGACCCTGTACTTACCTGTCTCCACGGGCTCTACTTTAAGACGTATAGTCCTATAATGCCCACCTTCCTTCATTCAAAATCTACTGCACGTGACATCATGTCATACAATGCAAATAGCTTTACCGTCTGCTGCAGATAGCTAACATAAGTTTAAACAAATTATTGCTTGGTACGAGGGAATTAGGTTGATATTTCGAGAAAATCGGCTTATCATTCTACGGAGTGCTTAAACACAGAGGTGTCTGATCGATTAAGTTCCTTCTCGAGGGGTTAAAAGACCATCTTGAAGGCAATAGCCTGCATTGACCCTCGTAGCTCCTTTACTAATATCAAGATTACACATACTGCAAGGGATTTTAGTTGTGCAGTACAGGGTTCCTAGTATACGAATTCGCGTATAGGGTTTCTTAACATGAGTTTGTATCACTATTCTTTGCAGAATATGTTTGTTTGTTTTACCTGACTGCTGAGAAAGCATTGCATACTTGTAAGAAAACAACCGTGCAGGGGACCAACGGCTTTAAAGGTATTATATCCCTTTTGCAGCCAACCTCAAATTCTGTAGAACTTTGCAGGAATTATGAATATGTCATGTATGTCCTATCTGTGAAATTTAAACGTTAGCAGTGTCCTCATATTCAAATTATGCAAGGAAAGCCGTTTACTTGCTAGACTTCACTGTCAGACACTATTGAGTGACTGACTGGCTTTTTTTCTTCTTCGGTAATAACATATATGAAAAGAGTTGTAAAGGGTACATGAGCATTTGTCTACATCAATAACCCACTTCTTGTGATGGCCAAGATTAAACTGATTGAATTTTTGCGCAGCATAAAACGTATGACCATTTGGTACAATTGTCTGAAAATCAAGACTATTACTTTTGGGCTCTATAGCCCTAAAGTCGATTTGACAACTAATAGTCATTATTTTCCCACTTGAAGACATTTTCAAGCCCCACCTTTTTTAGGGAAGTTCTAAATTAGTATAATCTTTCAAATGCAGTTGGAATTTAACTTTTTCATTTTTATGGCCTGCAATTGGGACATAGTACCTTTAAGTCATCTCCGAGGGACTTGGTAGTGAGGATTAATGCCTTACTACATGTACATGTATAAAGGGCACGAGCGCATCGACTTGGTTTCGAACCATTGACCTCCCAGTGACGAGACCACTGCTCTACCACTGAGCCATCGCGCCTCCTCGTTTCATACCTCCGATTTGAAACGTTTTCAAGGAACAGTCACTAAACTGTACATGACATATGGCATCAATGTTTGGACGCGAGAATGGCCTCTCTTTTTGTCTTCTTCTTTTTAAACAAGCTCTTCCGCAAAGTTAGCGAGTTTGGTTAACAAGCATTGCAAATCCCTCCTTTCAATCAGGAAAATTTGCAAAAATTGTATAGGTCAGTGGACCTGTTTGTATAGAATTAGGATTATGACATCGTAATCTCTTTTCTCCCGAAAATTTGACGAGGCCACGCACTGTCACATTTCCGCATGTAACATTGGTTGTTAAATTGTTAAAGAAAGATCCGATTATGAAGTCGAACCCTCAAAGCTTGGTTATTCATTTGCAACATTTATGACAGTTTGTTATGACAGAAGCGCAGTCCAAACGATATCAAAATACATACGTCATCCGTCTTAGGTAGATGTAGACTTACTGTTCCCCTCCCCCTCTTTCTCTGTCTCTCTCTCTCTTTCTCTATCTCTCTCTCTCTCTCTTTCTCTGTCCCTGTCTCTCTCTCTCTCTCTTTGTCTCTGCATGTCTCTCACTATCTCTTGGAAAACGATATAGGTCACTAAGATATTGCTGTAAACTCGTCAGTCATTTATGTAAGTAAGCAAATAGGATTATGATAATAGCCGAAACCATATTATCTTCGTATGCAGTACGAAAACTAAAGAAATTCTTCGCGAACTTTTTCTCTTCTGGCCATGTTGTTTCATTTTGTCTGAAAATCTCTGCTTCTAAAAATGTACGTTATGTAAAGAAAGAGCAAATCCACACGGGTTTTACATGTAAATGAGATGTGTGTGTGTGTTTGGGGGGGGGGGGGGCTGGAAGAAATCCCCCCCCTCCCCCCGACTCCATCTGATGATTGCAGTGGTCGCCATTTACATGATTTTACAAATTGC